ATATCATTCTGTAGGTTTTTTCTCAACGTTCAATTTTTGAGGTTTGTTTTCATTGGTATTTTTATATGTTATTTCAATTTAACAGTATGCCTCAGTTTATTCACTTATTTCTTCACAAGCATTTAGGTAGCTTCTGGTTTTTTTAACATATCGAAATCAGTGCTACAGTGAACATTCTTGTGCCTGTTTCTTTGAGCTCAGGTATAAAACTTTTTGCTTTCGTATGTGCCTGAGAATGGAATTCCTGGGTATATGTGTATGTGTAACTATACTGAATGTTACCAATTTGTTTTCAAAGTTACTGTAGCAGTTACATTTCCATCCCCAGGCATTTTGAAAACATTTTTGAGATAATTTACATGCCATAAATATGCATAACCTAGTATGTAGGGTACAGTTCAGTGGGGTTTAGCATACTTACAAGGTTCTAAACTATTAGCTAAATCTAGTTTTAGAACATTTTATATCACTCTCTAAAGAAACCTTGTACCCACTGATAGTTATTCCACTTTATTCCTTCCCACTTCCATGTTTTTATGCCCTCCTACCCAAAGGAAGCATGAATCTACTTTTTGTCTCTAGATTTGCCTATTCTGAACATTTGTATATACATATCATATAATACTTTGTCTTTTGTAACTGACTGCTTTCACTTACCACAATATTTTTGAGATTCAACTATATTGTATCACCTGTCACTATTTCACCCTGTTCTTTCATTAAGTAATATTACTATGTTTTGTTTTCCATTCGTCATTGGGTGGACATGTTTATATAATATTTTTATTTCTCTTTGATACAAATTTCCTAAGAGTGGAATTATTAGGCTGAAGCATATGATAACTTTATGTTTAATGTTTTGAAGAACTGCCAAAAGTGGCTAAACCATCCTACAGACCTAGTAGCAATGCCTGAGGTTTCCAGTTTCTCCATCTCTTTGCTAATACTTGCTATTGTCTGTCCTTTTTTGTCGTGTATCCTAGTAGGTAATAAGTGGTATCTCACTGTGGTTTTGGTTAGCATATCTTTAATGACTAATGAACATCTTTTTGTATGTGTTTTGGTGTTTCTGTGTCTGTATTGGAGATATTTCTGTTCAAATCCTTTAACCATTTTTAAAAATTGGATTGTAACCTTTTTATTATTGAGTTATATGTATCCTTCACTCATTCTGAATACAATTTCCTTATTAGATAGATGATTTGCAAATAATTTCTCCCTTTTGTTATTTATGTTTTCACTTTCTTGATGGAGTTCTTTGAGGCACAGAAGCTTTCAATTTTGAAGTCCAATTTATCCAACTTTTCTCATTTTCATACATTTGATATCATACCTAAGAAATCATTACCTAACCTAAGATCAAGAATATTTATTCTTCCACATTTTTCTAAGAATTCTATAGTTTTAGCTGTTGCATTTAATTACAGCTATGATCTGTTATTTAATTTTGTATATAATGAGACATACACACATTCTTTCACATGTGAGTATCCCTTTATCACAGCACAGTTAGATTCAATTTTCTTTCCCCCATTATATTATCTTGGCACCTTGTTGAAAATAAATTGAACAAAAATATCAGCGTACATTTCTGGGACTTTCTATTGTATTGATTTATATATCTATCATTGTGACAGTGCAACACAATCTTAATTACTTTAGGCTTCTGCAATAAGTTTTAGAATTAGGAAATGTAAATTCTGCAACTTGTTTGTCTCTCTTAAATTGTTCTATTTTGGCTCCCTTGTACTTTGCATATGAATTTTAAGATAAACTTATTCTTTCTGCAAAATATATCTAGGGTCTTAGTAAGGATTCGTAGAAACCTGTAGATCAGTTTTAAGGAGTGTTGTCATTTTAACAATATGGTCTCTCAGTCTATCAGAGGACCATTGGATATCTTTGCATTTCTTTAGGTATTTTTAATTTTTAAAGTTCTTCCAGAAAAGTTTTGTGGTTTTTAGTGTACAAGTTTGCCCTTCTGTTGTTCCATTTATTCCTGAATATTTTATTCTTGTTGATACTACTGTAAATGACATTATTTACCTAATTTGTAGTCTATATATGGATAGATTATAGAAGTAGAGTTGAGTTTTTATATTCTGCAAACTTGATGAACTCTTTCACAGATTGTATAGTTTTTTTTTTTTTATTGTATAGTTTTATAAAATTGTTTCCTTAAGGTTTTGTGTACACAAGATCCAGCCCAGAGCTTATCCGTGCTCTTGAGTTTTTAGTTTCAGGGACATATTTTTATATTTTTTAAAGGCCTACCTCTTCTATTTTATTTTTACCTCTTTCACTTTATATTTTATTGGCTTTTGCTAGAAAGTGTTTATTTATATCTTCAAACATCCTAAACATACTTCTCTTAAAGCCTTTGTCAGACTGTTTCAATAAAACTAATTTTATGTGGAGTGCATTTCTTTTCTGACTGTTGATTTTGTTGGATACTTCATTAGAATTAGATTTCTCTGAATTTTGGTTTGCAGGTCTATTTTGAGTGGGAGGTTTTATGAGTGTTTTGTTCTTTTTATTTGACTTTGATCATTCCTCCCTGTGATGATCTTTCAATTACCTGCATCTGGCTCCCTAAGGCTCCTTCCAGACCTAGGTCTTATAATGACAATTTGGTGTTCAGCCCAGAGTGACATTAGGGGTTCTATAAATTCAGCTATGGAGTGTCCTTTAGATGAGGGGGAGCCTAACACCAGTCCCCAGCATCAAACTATTTCTTCCCCCTTTCTATGAAACCTATTTGGCACGCCTTACCACACTGGAGCTTAACCCCGGCCACCACTGTTTCCCTCCACAGTCAAGTGTAGCCTCAGACCTGGAAATACGTGAGCCTATTTATATTTCTTTTTTGTGCATAGTTATCCCTTTTTATATTTTATTTGTCATATTTTCTGTTTTGGAAAGAACAGGGTCTGTGCCAAGTTTTATATTAAGTCATGAAGAAACTTTATCTTCATTACTGAAAGCATAATATTTACTATTTAATTTTAAATTGTCAACCAGATAAAGCTATTATTCTACCGTAAGAAATATTATTTTGTATTGTAAGCCAAAGAAAATTACTATAGGTTCATTTCCCAAATACTTTCCCCCACCCAAAAAAATCCTTTCAGTAATACTTGAATATCTGTTTACTATATGACAAACACTATTCTGGAAATTTTATTTGTTATCCTTCTTTATTCAATCATAACTCTACAGATATTATTGTTATTATTTTATAGAAGAGTGAGCTAAATCTTAGATTCTTCAAGAACTTGTCAATCATCAGTTGAACCAATATTCAAATCCAGATCTGTCTAATTTGAAAGCCTGTGCTTAAAATCACTTTTTTTTTTTATGCTTTTCTATTTTAATTGTTGAAAAGTTTGCATTCTACTCTCTTCTTCCTTTTGGAAAATTAGTACAATTTTAAGATATTTTGTTATAGAAAAGTAAACTTGAAAAGGGAACAGACTAGATGATTTCAAATTAGGTCAGAACTTCAGCCATTGTTTGCTTTTATGTAGGGTTTCAGAATATATTTGAAGGATTTTCTCTGACCTGGTGGGTGTTTCTTGATGAATTATCGTTTTTGTTCTTGTTAAAAGCTTTGGATAAGAGACTTTTGTTCCCATCTTCCCATTTTCATTACTTTTATGTTATAAAGTAACATATAAAAATATACCTGTGATTATTATAATTGTACATTATAAAAGAAAGTATACTTTCTCTAAGTTTAATATTTTAAACTCTCCATATTTATTTCCCTGTCTGTACTGGGAATCTATAAATGAAGAATTAAACCTAAATATCATATACTATCAGCATTCATTAACTAATTGAAATATATAAATATTTTAAGGAGATTGGTAGGCCAGAAAGAGAATTAAGTGCTGCAGAAGTTTTCAACCAGTAACAAATAGATAATTGAACTTAAAGATAAAGAATAATTATGATTGCAGCACAGGTATAGTGCTGAAACAGATTTGAATTTGTACAGTATCAAGAATTAAGATCGCAGATATAAGAATCAAATGATCAAGAAGCACATGTAGGTATGCCAGTGCTCCAGTAGGCTGATTATAAGGGCTTTAGGGCCAGCTTGGAGTAAAACATTGAGGGAACACAATTTTAACTAGATCTTAAATGATGAAATAAGTAAAATGGAATACTTCTTAATGGGCTGAAACTATCTGCAGAAATGACTATCCTTCATATCTTTTGTTCTAATTGTAGGAAATGGTTTATTGGAAATCTCAAGTTTGAATTGCTCAGTCTTTGTATTCCATCCCTCTAGGGCCAGCTCAGGCCTTCATCCTGTCAAAGCAGATAAAACAGAATAGCTTGCAATTTGCTATAAAGGGGTCCTTGGGATGAAGCATTTTAATGTCCATAAAGAGTAGACAAGACCTTCATTTTTAAAGGCTCCCATGGAACATTTCAACAGCATGGATTTGTCTTGGTGCCCTTTGCCAAAATTAATATATTTAGGCTGAGGAGTTAGAAGAAAGCTAAGCATTCAGGTCTATGTACCATTCAATAAGATTTTACTATATTTATCTTATTTTAGCCCTCATGCCCTCAAACTGACAACACAATGAGTAAATAATGCTTAAATAAGACAGGCTACTGAGTTTTAGACCTGCGTCACTTAAATTTGGGAGAAATGTAGAGTAACAGTATTATTTTAGAAATTAAAAATAAATTTAAAAAAATGATGACCTAGAGAATGGATTAAATTGATCTTTGTTGGCTTTTTTTCTCTATTTATCAGTCTGAGGTTCAATGGCCTTTCTAGTTTCAAATAGCTCTCCCAACCAAGAGCTCTGATAAAGAAAGGGCAGAGAGGGACTGGCATGTAATAAAATACCAAGTATGTTATTTTGAATTCTTCTCATGCTTGGAGAACAGGAATATCTTAAGCTTTGATAGAATGGTGCAATTTTAAATTTTCCATTTGACTACTTTAAAAGGTTCATTGTCTTTTAATTAAACTACAGGGGAGAAGAGTGGAGATTAAAAGACGTAGTACTATAAAGAGGATGGCTTTCAGCTACTAGTACATGAGTGAAGACACCACAATAAAGCAAGATGGAGTGCAGAGCAACAAGTTTTGTGCTTCGAAACCTGCTCTTGTATGACTGTGGCAGTAATTTGGAGTTAATTTGTACAGTTCCTCAATAAAAGACTCTGTGTTTTATTATTCTTTGATTCTTTGTAGCATCTCTTCCGAGCTGATTTTTTTTTTTTAAAATGTGATACAATGCGCCTTGCACAACTAGAAGTGATAATGAGGTAAACTAGTTTAGGTAAGTATCTTGGATCAGGTTCAGTACATGGACATTTCCTATTCATCAGCTGCTGCTTACTTTCCATAAAATGACTACCTCAAGTAGCTCCTTCCTTGAATCTCTCGTGCTCTACTTTCATTGAGAAGTGTAGACCCACTTTTTCCTATGGGAATGTTTTAGTTTCTCTGTTTGGGAATATTATTGCCTGGTAGCGGTTTTATTTTCCTTTGTCTGCATGAAGATTTTTTTTCTTTGTGTCTGTTTTTCTCCCTTTGCTTTCTACTCCCCACTTGTCCCCAAGTCCTTCAAGCCAATGAGCTTGTGGTGACACCTTCTGGGCAGTGCTGGGAGTGAATTACAGCCTTAAGTTCCATGGAGGAGTTAGCACACCAGTGGTGTGCATAGTACTATATTTGGTTTGTTGCATCAAAAGAACTGATACAGCACTCTGATTGTGCTTGGAATCTCTAGCACTTGTTAAATATCATTGCAATTCCTTACTAATTAGTAGGGCTTTGTAGGCATCTAAATAAAAAGCCAGGGCCCTACCTGCTTAATCAATGTAAGGGCATGGCACTTGGTCAGACCTGGAAATGAATGTTAACAGAGGAAAGGTTAATGATTGCATGTTATTAGAGTATCAGCACTACAGGCTATTCTCTGTATGTGGGCATGCATTTTGTGCATGCGTGTGTGTGTATGTGTGTGTGTACAGCACATTGTTAAGTTATATGCCAGTCCTTCATAGCAGCAGGACAATGTCCCATAAACAGTCTCATTGGGAACAGTGTCATTCATCTCAACAGTTTGCTACCCAGTGTAGGAGGAAGGATTCTTCAGAACTGTTCTTGTCCATCCATGTCTCTCATCATTTTTAACAGATGTAAAGAATCTGGTGAGTACCTTTGATTGAAACCTTGCATTTTTCTGAATAGACTCCATTTCCTCCCCCTCTGCTTCAAAGATGATTTAACTCTTATAATAAAAAGATTTTAAATAATAGCTTTTCCACACAGCTTAAAATGATGCAAGTTTACTATTTCCGATTTTCTTTTTTCACTGACTTTTGTTTGGCTTTTGAACAGGCTTAAGGTATGGCTTCTAAAAATCATTGGATAGCTCTAGCAAAGTTGCCATTGCTATCTTTTCAGGAAACTAGCTACTATTTACAGAACTTTATAAGCTTAATATTAAATAATTTTCAGGAGCTCAAGCATCTTCTGTTTTCAATAACTAAATAACAAATGCAGAAGTACTGGGCAATAAAGGTATGGCTGACTGGCTATCAAAACAGTTGTAAAGCTGCCCACCTCTATAATACCACCTTAGGACAGTATCAAATGGAAAAGCACAAGACAGTAAACTTAAGAGTGAAGCTAACTGGAACAGTTGGATTACAGACTTCCAAATGGCACCTCATGTCTTGGCTGTTAACCTGATCCTTTAGTGAAATGTTGCATATACAATAGAATATATGCATTTATATTTTGTACAGATCTAAATATTTCTACTATATAACAGAGTCAAAGTAAGGACACATTGCCTTCCAATTTTGATTTACAAACAGATGATAGTTGAAAATTAGACTAGAGCTGTAATGAAAATGGGAAAACCACTTTCATGAAATTAAAAGAAAGCTTAAAATACTAAGGGTGTGAATGAGTAGCAAAATATCATGTAGTAACTGTGGAGATGATGGTTTTATTTGAAGTGGGGGGAGGGAAGAGAAAGCTAGAAGGAGGCAAAAACACAATTTGGTCTAAAATTGAATTTCTCTGATAAGGCATTTCAGAAGCAGCTTGTCTTATTCACTCAGCAGCAAAATAATCATATGCGCTTTAATAATCTTTATTTTACAGGAGTGTGTTGCCAGGGTAACCAAATGTAAGCAGGGGAACAGCACCTTGCAGATCACAAAGGCAAATCTGTGGAAAGAAATTTCACTGAGTTTTCTCTTTTCCTTACCAGTGTAATAAAGACTTATTTTTCCTGCACTATTTAATAATCTCACATAAACATTCTTTTCTTTTTTCTGTTTTTGTATCTGTTTAAACATGGACAATAGCATATATATGGAACTGTCAAGCTCAGTGGGCTAAGCAAAAAACAGATGTTATATCTTTAGCATTTTTATATAATTACTTTTTATTACTATTTTACCCCATCTCCATCCCCCCCGACCTTCTGTTATTTCCTTCTCTCTGTAAACCAATCTGATGTTAGTGTTCCAAATAAAGGGGCTTGAGATAGGAGTTTATATTTGGCTACATTAATCAAAATTTATTAGCTAACCTTGTCTGCATGGAGATTCTAAAGAGGTACAGATTATAACTGAAGCATCCATTTTGGGGAGGGGGTGAATTGAATGCTAGCAAATGAAGTGACAAGCATTCAGGCCAAAAGCTGCAGAAATAATCATTTCTTTATACTCATACACATACACACAAATAATCCTCCCCAAGAGGAGTGAAGAAGAAAAGGAGGCAATGTTAGGTGCTTTCAGCTTTCCACTGGGCACTGTCTCTAGGAAATTGGCTAATTTGAAATTAACAAAATGAAAGGTTCCAGTGCTTTCTCAAAAGAGATAATAAGAACTAACAATAAGAATGTACCTACCGATCATTTGGTTAGATCCAATTTATCACAAATGTATGGCTTATATGTATTTGCCTATCATTATCTTTGCTAAATGCCATAATCTGTGAAGGTGATTTCAGAACAAAATAGTATTATGCTATAACACTGGGAAAGGAAGAGAGGGAGGGAGAGAGGGAGAGAACAAGGGAAGGAGGAAGGAAGGATGGAAAGAAGGAAGGAAGGTAGGTGAGTGAGGGAAAAGAAGGGGAAAAGAAAAGGAAAATGTAAAAGAATCTTCATGAAGTTAGATGTGAAAAATCTATATTCACATGATGGTTAAAGGTTTGATTTCTGTCAAATATTTCAAATGAACAGCTACCTGTTAGTTTTAACATATTGTTTACTCAAAGTCTGTGATTTACCTAGTTCTCTCTCTAGGTTTGTGGGATAAAAGACAACCACAAATAGGTGCTCAAATATCAGTTTCTGGGTGATTTTCCTTCTAAATAATTTTGGATTTTGATGGTATTTAAACTATAATATTAATTATTATTAATATTTCTCTAGGAATTGTTCTTTCTTGCCACATAAATCTTGCTCAAATACTTAAAATTCAAACTAATTAAAACTACATTTAAAAAAGATGGTGGTAAAAGAGCAAGTAAAATTTAAAAAGACCCAGTAAAGACTTCTTCAAACAGCAAACTCTAGGGAAAATAATCTATAGGGAAAATAACTAGTAATAATACTCCAGCGTTCACAAAATTGGGAAAGCATCATATTGAGATTGCAAGGATTTCTGATGTTCTACTGGAATTTCATACTGAAATGCTGTGGGAGTCAAAGTTTGATTCTCATCAAGCACCAATGAACGCTCTTAAAAAAAATTTTAAACCCAATGCAGTCTATTCATTTATCCATATTATATTACTATTGGTTTAAAATCAGTTCATTTTCATTCTAAATACAGTGAATTCATTTGGTACTTCCCCAAAGCCAATATCTTCTTTGATATATAATCTTTATATCACCTCTGTTATACAAATTATTTCTTAAGAACTTAGAAGTTTGCTAGGATAATGTTGCCTAAAGGGCAGATATTTTTCTCTCCTTGGGCTGTTGCTTACATCTAGAGTCTCTGTGGAAGTAAGGTTAGTGGTTTTGGGCACAGAGTAGCATATCTATTTTAGGATTGGGGGCTTTATCCCTTGATGTAAAAATCTTCAATAACTTTGCATTTTTATTTAATTGTTATGATGGTGGGCATATGGCTGAGAAATGAAAACTTGCTGTTAAATATAATTCCTTTGGTGCTTTTAATTCAACTGTAAAAATTTTCAAATCACTTGCCGACATTTCGTCTTCCTTATTTGGTAAGAAAAATAATACTTTCCCTTCACTGCTTGAATATGGTGCAGTTTTGGAATCATGTATAACAGGATCTTAAAGTATAACTGTTTTTGCTGAGGTCTGAAGAAAAAAGATTTCAGGGTGATATATGAAGTCACCTCCCAGTTCTTAAATGAGAAGGAAAGAGAATGACAGTTATGCAGTTCTTAAGCTTCTTAACCATATCAATGATAAAAAGGATTGGGAAGTTGTCAATTAAGGAAAGGGGTATTTGGGGAGAAAATTGTTAGTTTGATGAATGTCTTATCACAACTCCCAGGGGAAGGAGTGGGGTACATCTGCATTCCTCAGAATCCAAGAGAGATAAACTAAGATCACTTAGCTTAAAAGTGATTTCTGCCATTTAGGACCTGCTATTGGACTGATGCCTGAAAAATCTAGAGTTTAAAACTGACTGGCTAGTCACTTTGAAAGTAGAATAACAGAAAGGTGACTACTTTAGGCAACCTGTATGCTTAGAATTTGTTGGAGTAAGTATTGCTTAAGTGCATGTCATAGATCAGAGGTAAGCACAAAGACAGGACCCAAGACTTAGACCCTAGACTGTGTGGGTGAAGTGAATTGCACTGCTATCGTCTTGGGAGCAGAAAGGAGAGAAAGAAGAGCGAGCTTCAACTAAATCAAAGGGTCTGCAAGTGACCAGCCTAGCAGGGCTGAACTGGAAAAGGAGAGTTGCTATAACTTTGCAATTTAAACTTTTTACTACTGTGATAGACTAGGTATACTGACTTTTAAGTATTTTGATTACCTTGGTTTTTGTATGTTTTTGATGAACAAAAATAAAATCTGCTCTAAAAGTTTGCAATAGAATTGCTTTATACCCTCAAAAGATTTGCTTATTCAACTTAATTTTGTGTGTATTATATATGAAAATTTCATATTGTAAAATAATATTAAATACTTCATTTAATCTCTAGTTTCTTGT